TGGGGCATGTTTCGGCCAATGATTAGAGTATTCTTGCAAGTCTAAGGGTCCAACAGGAGTTATTTCTGCGACATGCTATTTCAAAACCCAAAATTCAGAGGGATATATATGAAAAGAAAAATTGAAATAATACAAATATTAATTCCTTCCAGGTGAAGGCTATCACTTGAAATCAAATTAACAAAGCAGATTTTAGTCAATGACACATCGCTTGGGGTAGAAGTTCATCTCTGTCACCAGGCTATGGTATTTCTGGAAAGGAAAGTTAACTTACAAAGTTGTAATATACGTGAAAGGCTTAATGTTGCTGATTAAGCGCAAAGATATAAACTCTAACTGACTGCTCAGTAACATTCATGTAATATTAGTAATATTCAAATAAGTGTACTTGTTCTAGGTGTGTGTGACGTGGATACATATATATAAGCGTATAGAAGAAACGTCAACAAACTATGTATACAATAATAAATAAGCCATGTCCTTGATATATAACTGATCTTATACCACCAGCTGTGTCACAGAAGGTCAGTTATAATCTCAGAAACCGCCATGATTTTGTAGTTCCATTTGCACGGACATCTACGTTTAAAAGGTCTTATATTATAGATACATTAGGCCAATGGAATAATCTATCATCAGGAATCAGGGATAGTCCGTCAATATCTTATTTTCAAGCTGTCGCATCTGAGCAGCCTACATCACCACCTATGCACTATAATTGCGGTGAGAGATCTACAAACATATTGCACACTAGATTGAGACACAATTGTAGCACACTAAATTCCAACCTGTTTCGTGTTAATTATCTGATACTATTTCCTGTAAATGCGGAGCTCCTTGTGAAAATTCATTCCATTTCTTTTTCGAATGTACCTTATATGATGATATTAGGGAGACATTACTGACAGCTATCGATAATCTTGGAGGACAAAAAACTCGTATACAAATTTGTATTCTTTTTGTGATCCAAGCTTAGATGTTTTCCTGAATACCAAAATATGCTTGTCTGTACACAAATTTATAGAAACGACTAACAGATTCAGTAGCTAGCATATTATTGTTTCCAAACTGTAAATCATTAATATTGTTAAATCTATATACAACACTAACATATATAATATTAGCATATGTATGAGATGCACACTGTCTTCACTTTCCAGCACATTGTACATATCCTTCATATCAGCACTGTATATAAATTTATATTGCGCACTATGTTTCCACAATGTGATGCTTCAACTGTAAATTGTTAATTTTCATTAGGCAATATTATGTATAACTGTATATAGGGAGAAGGTGGTAATAAGTGCTGCAATTGTGCCCAATCCCTTGGTCTTTTGGGGCAATACAATATGTTTAATAATAATAATAATAATAATAATAATAATAATAATAATAATAATAATAATAATAATCAACCAATGTATTATGATCAGGGTCCATTGGTATCCCTTCAGCAAGTGCAAATCAGGTCCTAACACATCTGTTTTGTCATGTATCACGCGCTATACAGTCGAACCTCGCTTATCCGGACAATTTTCTAAAATGTTGTCCGGATAAACGAGTTTCTGGATATCTGAATACCGTGATAACTGACCAGAAGTCCTTCCCCTACCTCAATTCTACTGAGGTATATGTGAAATGAATGGCAAAAATATGAAGGATCTACCAATTACTAATAAAATACATTGTGCTGTACAGACTAACACAGCATGCTGTGACAGCGCGCTGCATTATTGAAACGGCTGAAGAAATGCATTTGTAGCCTAGTTTAGACTATGCACTTGTTTTGTGTACAGATGTGACGGCGAGGTTGGGGCAACCTGACACACATGAGCATTAATAGCCATGTTTACCTGTACTAGTTGAGAGCCAAGGTTGAAGTCATTCATGTGTGAAAAATGTTGTGGAGGCATCTGTAAACGGCTAAAGAAATGCAAATGTAGCCTAGTTTAGAATATGCACTTGCTTTGTGTACAGATGTGACGGCGAGGTAAGGACAACCTGACAAACATGAGCATTAAAAGCCATGTTTACCTGTACTTGTAGTTGACTGCCAAAAATGCTGTCGAGGCATCTGTCCATCTTCTTTGTCGAATTGCATTATTAAAGTACATCAAGATGAGACATCATATACATTCATATATATTAGTTGAGCACGAAACCTTGAAGTGTAGCCAGGACATTTCCTCGAAACTATGGGCGGCCATGTAGCTTCAATATCTTAATAAATTATATCACTGAACATAAATCAAGGTGTATTCAGTAAACAAAGATCCGAAGGGCTGTATTTCCTTCATCGAACACACTATGCGTTCATCACAGTTTGTGACGGATTACGGATACGAACGAACTAGCACTTGTTTGGCAGGTAGGTTTTGTTAAGATTTGTTATCGTTCTCTCTGTACCCTCTACTTCCTTAATCACAATTTAAATCCTAAATAGACTTTCGGGCCCAACACTGTGGCAATTTTAGACCCTCTGTTTCTGTAATTACTTGAGCTCATTTTCCCTAAGGTTTACACATCTCATAAGACTAAGTCATCAATGATGTCAAAGCTGTCTGACATGGTTCTTATGAACAGTTTATGAAGCTAAACAATGTCCAAGTGACTTAAGCACAAAAATACGCGAACACTTCTGACACAGAATTTCTTAAGAAAATACAGTAAAAATGCTTCACTTGATGATACATCTGTGAAGTTTAAGTTGATTTTGATCGCACGGGCCAAGTCGGACCCAACACAAGCCAAACACTTCTGATAGAGAATATGTTGAGAATGTAAAGGGAAAAGGGCTTCACTTTGAGCCCCTTGTTTTCTTTAAGTACATCGATCTGAGACACTATAAAGTGGTATTTAGGTAGATATAATACTAGTCTATAGGTGTAAACACATTTAAAGATAGATCTGTAAGGTTTAAGTTGATTTTGACAGCCCGGGCCAATTCGGACCGAACACTTCTGACATAGATTTTCTTAAGAAAATACAGTGAAAATGCTTGACTTTGAGCACCTTGTTTTCTTTAAATACGATGTACCGTGACATTATAAAGTGGTATATTGGTAGATATAACACTAATCTATAGATGTAAACACATTTGAAGATACGTCTGTGAGGTTTAAGTTGATTTTGACAGCCCGTGCCAAGTCGGACCCAACACAAGCCAAACACTTCTGATAGAGACTATGTTGAGAATGTAGTGGGAAAAGGGCTTCACTTTGAGCCCCTTGTTTTCTTTAAGTACAGCGATCTGAGACACTATAAAGTGGTATTTAGGTAGATATTATACTAGTTTATAGATGTGAATCCATTTGATGATACATATGTGAGTTTAAAGTTGATTTTGACAGCCAGGGCCAAGTCGGACCGAACACCTGTGTGACGGTTGCGAGTATAGGGAGAAGAGGTCTACTTTAACCAACGTGTCTGCTTTAAATACGACGATCAGTTACATTACAAAGTGGTATTTACTTATATATAGAACGTTCCTATAAATATAAACACTATGCGCACAGATGGAACGTTGTATCACGATAGCTAGAAGTATTTGATACGTTTCAAATCTTATTTCGTTTAACGATTGCTCTTTTACATGTTACCAAGATCAGCGACGCTTACACACGATCCCCTTTCTGGTTTTCAAGCGATTTACTCCGAATTACTTATTTATGGTGCACTTTTTTGTTTGGTGATTGTTAATTAATGTCATGTGTGTATGTTGCATCAATTATATGTAGGTATGATCGCCGATAATGAAGTAATTAGCCAGTAACACTTTGGCCCGTCTTGGCCCGGCCCGGCCCGACTTTTAGGCAATGCCGTAAAATCTTCCGGACGACCACTGCACTAGAGGCATGTAGATTGTAGATGAGGTACTACGTGTTTGAATCTGAGCGTTAAACACTAAGCACTTACAGACAAGAGCTCACAATAAAACGTTATGGACTCGCGGACGGACTTGTGTTCAATTCAAGACGTACATGTACATGTATCAGTTTGAACTTCTACAACAGATATAACTTGGTTACCGCTTCCTAATTGTAACAGTAACTGAACTTTACGCCTTTTATACACATTTGTGATGAGGCGACAATGCGACAACGAGACATTTAATTTTTTTTATTCCAGCAATATCCCAGCAATATCACAGCGGGGGACACCAGAAATGGGCTTCACACAATGAGAAACAGAGTTATGTAAGTTTAAGGGCACATGCTTTCAAGACTGATCATTGAGGACTGACTGAGAATTCTCAATTCTCTTCAGCCTTATCGTCTCAATTCCCTCCAGCTTTATCGTCTGTTTAGATCTATGCATAAAGATCCAGAGTGACAGGAGGATGTCTAAAGCATTTCAATAGTCCTCCTTTCCTCCATGTGGTCAGTATTACAGCTGTTCCAGCATTTGGTGTCTGCATTTAGCGACATAATAAGCGATTCATTTGATGTCATGTTTCGACAAAAAAATCAATGTTGAAAATCTAATTTAGCGACTTTGGAGGTACAATCGAGCATAGCCTTTTTACGTAAACATAACATAGAAACATAACATAGAAACATAATGGGGGCGAACCGGGATTCGAACCCACAATCATAGTTTTTTTTGGCGTGCCCAAGGGACTCAACTCTGCACAGCGAATCGCGGCGCCTAAGGCGACTGGGCCACCCGTGACCCTGATCGAGTATAACTATTTCACAACAAATATGATTTAAAGTTTCTATTTCCTTCCATTTCACCCATTTGAGCAAAGCTTCTTTATAAAAGAAACCATACAAATATAGAGGTAACGATCAAACAGTGTTCACATATCCTGGAGTCTACATGGTCGCTGGGTTTCTTTGATGATCTGCGTCACTGCTTAATCAGCTCAGGAGTTCATAGCAAAGTGAAAATCTCATGAACCGTGACGGTTTTATTTCAGAAACGTTTGAAACATACGCATCGTAATAACATTAAGAAAGGGGACTCGTTACAATAGGAGTATAAATTGTAGTTACCGTTTATGCAGCACTGTTTAGTGTCGACTCAGTTCGTGAAACCCTTCGTGGAATGTCCTACTTCGGCTGAGCTAACACGTCGTATATTTATCGCAAGGTGGCTGGTCCACTTGTAATCAAAATGGCTGAATGTAAGAAAAAACATCAAAACAACTTCCTGCACATCACGACTGGCGCACATCGAACAGGCATGAGTCTACCACCGTGTTTTGTGTGATAAATATTGGTGTTATGACCAGTGTGCTACCACACCATCCCACCACGCTACTGCACTTAGGCGGAACTCTGACACATTTTTTAATCCTTTAGCTGCATTTTGATATCCAAAAAAATATATTCTTTTAACGAGTGATTCATTTGTGTTTTAACGCCGAATTGAACCATATTACAGTTATATCACGGCGTGTTAGCTTAATATGGGAGAAAATCCCGAAGTGATGCAGGTCTCACACCTTTATCACTTCAGTGATGCCCACGAATACGGTTAAGGAGCTGACAAACCCAGAAACATAATCACGACGCACCGAGATTCGAACCCTCGATTATAGATTCCTGGCGAATTGTGGCGCCTCAGACGACTGGGTCATCCGTGCCCCCTGCTTATGAGAAAGAGATAGCACAGGTACGACTTAAAATCTCTCAAGAAATAAAAATTGAAATAGTTAAAAAATATATTTGAATGTCACAATTATGATGAATAGTTACGAATGCATTTGTGACATCTAAAAATAACTTCATTGGTGTGTGTGAATTTGGTGAGTATGATTTTAATCATCCAGACGGCTTTACAACACTAACATCGCTCTCCGTCTTCCCGTGACGTGTTCGAAATACGCCAGTGGGAGTCCCAATTCCGAGGGACGAAAGTTCAGAGCCAACACCAAACAGCCAATGTCAAGACGCACTTCTTGTCTTTCCGAACGCCAGCAGCATGAAAAAGTTATTCTAAGAATTCTATTTTATTTAGTTGTTTTTTTATCGAAATACTGTTTACCATACAGCGGCTTGTGCCGGGATGAAACGAATGGTCACGAATGGTCACGAATGGTCACGAATGGTTCGGGATGTGAATGTCTGAGCCGGCAAGTTATATATTGCTGTAGAGTGAGTGAGTGATTTGTGTTTACCGCCGCTTTGAATAGTTATCCGTTTATATCACGGTGCGTCAGCATAACGTGAGAAGAAAGCACGATTATTCATTGCTGCTAACACATGTATTGACCCACAGGTTGTCTTTTTTTAATATGAGTCTAATCCTGTGTATTGCAATAATGCGGATATGCTTTCGGATTTTATATCGGAAGATGAAGTGAGACAGGGAAATCATGAGAACCGGGTACAGCCCCAGTACTAGCTGTGTTGCCAGCGGAGTTTTATAAGAATGCTTTGCATTTTCCATCACATATACATCTATTGTTTAATTCTATTTTGGATACTGGAATTTCCCCCAATTCATGGAATGTTGGCATTATATTGCCGTTTTTTTTAAGAGGGGGACACGTCTGCTCCTAAAAATACAGTGTCATTTCACTGTTAAATGTAACTGGTTGGAAGTAACGAAGTTATAACAGAAGCCCAAGCTAGTTACAGACACAATCATTCGACTAGCGATAATATCTTTGTTTGAAATTAAAGTCTTTAGCGCAAAAATATCTTCGAAAGTTAATTCATGGTTTTTGTGCTGCATTAATGAATTCCGGAAAGCTTTTGAATCTGTTGATATGACTAAATTATTATACCTTCTGAAGACCTGACCCGTGAAGATTTCGGGGTCGAATAGGTCTTCAGCAACCAATGCTTGCCATAAATGGCGACTATACTTGTCGTAAAAGGCGACCAACGGGATTGGGTGGTTAGGCTCGCTGTCTTGGTTGATGCAGGTCATCGATCCCAATTGCGTGGATCGATGCTCATGATATCAATCACTGGATTGCCTGGTCCAGACCCGATTATGTTACAACCGCCGTCATATAGCTGGAATATTGCTGAGTGCGGCGTAAAACAACAAACCAAACCAAACCAAAACTTACTTTGACAGAAAGGAATACATGGCACAATGTTCAAAGTAAATATATATCAAATGTTTGTTCGTATCGGAAATGTTCAAACCGATGCATTTCAGACTTCCAGCAGAGTCCGACAGGGGTGTATGTTCCATCCACTGTTATTAATAAAAAAAATTGTATTCCGACTTGCGTATGGATATGGACGTTGTTGGGTGTCCCCCACAGTACCAGAGATGATGCGTGTAAGGAATACGGGAGGGATCTGGTACGTTTGCTGTCCATATTGCCAATGGACGATTTGCTGGGGATAAGGACGGATCATTTGATTGTTTCAGGAGGGTGGCGCTAGTTTGTTTGATTATGTACTATGCACAACTAGTTTATTTGACACCATTTCCGACTTTAGCATACATACTCGCTGTGAATCAGTTTACTTTCCTATCATACTTACCGTCCATGGATGTGAAAGACAGGTCGATAATGTTAATGAAATGTATTTAAATATTTATTCCTTGATAAACAGGGAGAAATGAAATATGTGATGCCTTTAAACATAATGTTTCTGAGTCATTGTCTGCACTTCACATGGATGAGTTTATTCATTTATTGTCTTTGAATGTTGATTTAGCTGTTGATGCTTTGACAAATGCAGCACATAACGCACTAGTGGAGATAGAAAAAACATTCTTGAAAAAGACTCACTCACTCACTTAATGATGATATTACACAGGAAGAGATCGAATCATTCGAAAAAGATCTGAAGCAGGGTGAAGCTGCAGGGCCAGATGGCATTAAGACTGAGTGAGTGTTATGGTTTTACGCCGCTTTTAGCAATAGTCCAGCACTATCACGGCGGGGGACACCAGAAATGGGCTTCACACATTGTACCCATGTCGGGAATCGAACCCGGGTCTTCGGCGTGACGAGCGAACGCTTTAACCACTAGGCTACCCGACCGCCCCGAATTTAGTGAGAAACCAACAAAAAGCCAACAAGTGGTATACACTCAACAACTGAATTACTAAATTAACTAGGTTTGCAAAATCAATACAAATTACTGCACAGCAATTACAATGGCAGTAGAGAGGTAGTGCAATATTCAATGGCACTATAACATGTGAGAAAAGTGGAAATGACAATGACAAGAATAATAATCCCCTCATCGCAACAGTGGTCAAGCTTCTGAAATAGGCCTTGGCTGAACACCAGGGTGAAAAGTGATCGACACACGAAAGTTGGTCTTGGTGTAATGTCAGATGAAATGTGAGATGAGACAGGGACGCGCCTGCTTCACTTATATAGTCTAATCAGCTTACCGCACTTTCTACACAGTGTTTGACCAGTCCAGTGTCACGAGAACAACACAGAATATCACACGTTTCTATAACGATGGACATCCATCCATGTTATTCCAGAAGTTTACATATAATTCGAGCATCTAAGTATAATTACCTTATTACCACTGCTCACATTAAAACGTTACACATTCCCGACAACTGATCTTTGTCCAAATACAATACAATGAACATCTACTGAATCTCAACAGAAACAATGTAATACGTTTTACAATCACCGTGGAACAACAAACTACACTGCCATATAGCAAGTTACAACATGCTGGGATGCATTGAGGTGCGATTCCGCGATACTTTCGCATTGCATTTCCCGATATCGACTTGATAATAAAGTAAAGAGACAACTACGTCATACCGATCCAGTACCAAGTTAAGGCATATAATAATATATCAGACAATGGTAAACGATACTATAAATGGGTATTTACATTGTCTTGAATCTTTACAAACTAACTACCCTAAAACAATCACATCCCCAGAAGTGAGACATTATTTAAATTAATTCCTTATTCTTCTGGCATATAAAATGTACAATGTATGCTTTGCAGACTGCAGTTAGCTAATAATGAATTTTTTACGGTCATAAAGCCAAGTCGTTAAGTAAGCAGGACCTAGCCATTTGAGATGAATGGTATCGAGAATTTGTCATTCGTAAAATACAAGATAAGTACAAAGTCAGTTAGTCAGTAATGCAATGGATTTTATTCTTAATACAATAACCTTTAACTTCAGGGATTTTTTCTGAAAGTTTTTGTCTGAAACTTTGGGTCATCCTTCTTTCGGTTTTACCAGGAAGTGAACATAACTTTATGTGACTCCAGTTTTGGGATGTCAACCTCTTCTTTATAATAGAATTATCGTCAGTCTTTCATTTATCTGAAAAGAGTCGAAACCGTATGTTTTTTGCGAGATTGTTTACATGTAATTATCTACCAATCTTAAAAATCAGAAATTCTAACATACTGATTGATCCTGGCAGTTGCAGAATATATCAAGGGAAGATATACGAGTCTCGTATTATGTTAATTGTGCAGTTCAAATGTTCATGTAGTTGGTGATGGATTTCACTCTATTTATAGTTGCTAAGCTCTTCACTTACATCGAAGCAGATCAATGCGCCAATTCGCCCAGCCACTGATTTCCATATTATGCGCAGCGGCTGAGAAGATGATGTTCTTGTGGTTACTCGTGTTCACACTTTTCAGAAACAGTATTTGCGAGGAAGATTATATACAGCATGAACGATACATGCGACGATGGGATCTTGACGGGAAGACAGCTCAGGAACACACCACATTTGGATGTTCGTCAGCGTGGTCAGAAAGACATTGTGCATCATTGTGTAGGACAACCAATGGTTGTACTTCCTTCTTCTACAACACCGAGACCCGTGCCTGTAAACTGATCGACAAGCAGATCTATAACTCAGACACCCTGGTTGATGAGACTCATTCACGGTACTACTGCAGTAAGTATTCAGTATTACATTTTAAAAGGGTACACGGTTAATGACATTAGTGTTATTGTCATAGCAACTAATTTGGGACAACCATTGTCGAAAGAACATTTGATTCCGAAGGTAAATTACCCTGTAGTCATAACATGTATATGTCTCCATAACTGAATTGCAATATTTATAAGAACCTCATCTCCGTTGTTAATCCTCACCAACATTTCTTTGTATTGACTGTCAACCAACATGGGCTACCATATCACTCCCCGTTAATTATCCCCTGAGCTGTGTCGGTTCATCACGCCCATATGTCCCATGTCCAGAGCAACGTCATTGTCTCTTTGTCTGTCCATTACTATATATGTGTTATCAATACAATGTTAGTCAGCTTGGTATTCCGAGCTTT